TAGAGGCCCTAAGGTCTTCTAAATGAGCGAGGTTGTTAGAGGCCCTCAGGTCTTCTAAGATTGAGAAGTTGTTAGAGGCCCTTAGGTCTTCTAAGATTGAGAAGTTGTTAGAGGCCCTTAGGTCTTCTAAGATCGAGAAGTTGTTAGAGGCCCTTAGGTCTTCTAAGATCGAGAAGTCGTTAGAGGCCCTTAGGTCTTCTAAGATCGAGAAGTTGTTAGAGGCCCTTAGGTCTTCTAAGATCGAGAAGTTGTTAGAGGCCCTTAGGTCTTCTAAGTTTGAGAAGTGGTTGGAGGCCCTAAGGTCTTCTAAGTTTGAGACGTGCACGGAGGCCCTAAGGTCTACCGAGATATATAGAGACTTATATGGAGGCCCTTAGGTCTTCCAATATTGAGACGTGCACGGAGGCCCTAAGGTCTACCGAGATATATAGAGACTTATATGGAGGCCCTTAGGTCTTCCAATATTGAGACGTACAGAGAGGCCCTAAGGTCTTCCACAAGTTATAGACGTAAGATATGGTCGGGGTCCGACTATGGGTTACCGCTTACCAATATACCTTACTTAACCGTGCTCCTTGGGCGACTCCTTGCTGCTGGCTTCCTCTTAGCTCCTGGTGGAGGACTTGGCCGATCGCTGGCCGAAAACTGAATGCCTTCCAAGGGCTGAGGCTCGCCTTATATAGGGCTCTGGCAGGGTCGAGTGTGACCGCCGCACCCGAAGATATTTTGCCATAATAGTGTGGCCAGGCCCTTCCTGGGCCAGTGTGACCATTTGGGCGCGATCATGGCGCGCGCGCATTTAATTCAAATCCATTCCATATTCATAGGTTTCTATTGTCTAATCCATTATCCTCCTTATTTTATAATTAATATATATATTTGTGCGCGTCTGCGCGTCACACTCCCCTCGCTTCGGAGGCGGTGTGATACCGCACCGTAATTATTTTCCCCTGTCGAATACGCTTCTCCAGGATCCGGTGGTGCCCTCTGATTGTACCATCTGCCGTTGTATTTTCCTTTTTCTCTCGGTTGTTCTTCTTGGGCAAGTCCCGCGCCGCATGCTCTTAGTGCTACCGATGAACTTATCCGTTGCCATTTCCTCTTGCCCCTTTCCGTTGTCTGGATCGTCGTGCCATCGTTGCCTGGGGTTGCTCGTTGCAGTTTTGCCCCTGCTTCTACTTCTGCCATCATCTGCTCCCTTACGTCTGGCCCTTCCTGCTCCACTCCGTAACTTTCCTGCTCTCGCCGTCTTTTTCGCTCCAGTTCCTCTGCCCACATCGCAACCTCCTTTGATTGGTCCATGATTCCCGTGTCCATACCATCTTGATCGACCTCCCTTTCTGCTTCCTCTGGTTGTTCTGTGTCTCCTTGCCCATCGGTTGACCGCATATACGACTCGCTCTTTCGACTTCCGAGTGTGTTATACGGGTCTTGAATCTCCTGGCCTGTCTGCTCTGGTGTACTCGTCGCAGTTCCACAGCACTCCTTGTATCCCTCGCTGATCTCCGGGATGAGTCTTTGCTGTGCCTGTTCGAAACCCGATTCCGATTCGATTATCTCGACTATTTCCGCCAGTTTGAGGAATTCGAGAAGTGTCTTAAATTCCGATCTTCTCGTATACAACTTTATCTCGCTTTTACAATTTACGTAGATACGGTCCAATTTTTCCTCCTCTGTCAAATCTGCAAATCTCATCATTTGCCTTAAGCTCATTGCGTATTCCCTCGCCGACTCCCACTCTTCTTGCTTACGCTGCGAAATTTTCTCCCTTAATTGCTCCTTGTACCTTCGTGGTAAGAAGTAATCAACTAGTTCTGATGTCAGCTTTGCCCAACTGTCTTTTTTGACAGGGAAGCAGATCCACCAGTCGATTGCTGCGTCTTCCAAAATGAATGGCATCGTTTGCACCAATTGATAGTGCTGGATGCCGTATCCCGTCGCCCAATCCTCCATTTTCTTAATGAACTCAAGTGGATTAGTCATCCCATCGTACCGGATTCCCCAGCTTCGTATCCGGTCCAGGATCTCCACGTCTACCTTTCGCTCCATCTTCAGATCCGTCTGCTCTGATCCCGACTCAATGCAATTCCGCAGGTGCGTTCTTCGACCCTAAATATACTTAGGTCGACATAACTCTACCGGTCTGTCGGTCTATCTCTTGCAACCACTCAATCTGCTCGGGCGCCACTGTGACGGTTAGGTCATTCCTCGGGGCTCAAGGATGGCCAGGGTTCGTCTCAGAAATTTATTTGTTGTCTGAGGTGGTTGCTGAAAGAGATGCCGACCCGGTCCCAGAGTAGAACGCCGAGAAATATGCCGTAACTATAATTATCTGTTTATTGCCTCCAACATTACAAGTGGTAAAAAGATTGGATTTAGTCTGCTGCCGTGGGTAGTCACTCTGGAACGCCGCACTTCAGGGTCAGGTACATCCTTCCCGCTCGGGTCGACAGTGTCGGTGAAACGCCGATGCGCGGATGCCCCTCAGATCTCCTAGAGTGAGGATACCTGGTGGAGGCCCTCAGGTCTGCCAGTTAGTGGAATAACTTGTTAGCGGAGACCCTGAGGTCTTCCAGTTAGCGAGCAGATTTGTGGAGTCCCTAAGGTCTTCCAATCTTTAGAAGTTTGTAGAGGCCCTAAGGTCTTCTAAGATGAGAGGTTTGTAGAGGCCCTAAGGTCTTCTAAGATGAGACATTTGTAGAGGCCCTAAGGTCTTCTAAAATGAGAAGTTTGTAGAGGCCCTAAGGTCTTCTAAGAGGGAGAAGTTTGTAGAGGCCCTAAGGTCTTCTAAGTTTGTAGAGGTCCTAAGGTCTTCTAAATGAGCGAGGTTGTTAGAGGCCCTCAGGTCTTCTAAGATTGAGAAGTTGTTAGAGGCCCTTAGGGTCTTCTAAGATTGAGAAGTTGTTAGAGGCCCTTAGGTCTTCTAAGATCGAGAAGTTGTTAGAGGCCCTTAGGTCTTCTAAGATCGAGAAGTCGTTAGAGGCCCTTAGGGTCTTCTAAGATCGAGAAGTTGTTAGAGGCCCTTAGGTCTTCTAAGATCGAGAAGTTGTTAGAGGCCCTTAGGTCTTCTAAGTTTGAGAAGTGGTTGGAGGCCCTAAGGGTCTTCTAAGTTTGAGACGTGCACGGAGACCCTAAGGTCTACCGAGATATATAGAGACTTATATGGAGGCCCTTAGGTCTTCCAATATTGAGACGTGCACGGAGGCCCTAAGGTCTACCGAGATATATAGAGACTTATATGGAGGCCCTTAGGTCTTCCAATATTGAGACGTACAGAGAGGCCCTAAGGTCTTCCACAAGTTATAGACGTAAGATATGGTCGGGGTCCGACTATGGGTTACCGCTTACCAATATACCTTACTTAACCGTGCTCCTTGGGTGACTCCTTGCTGCTGGCTTCCTCTTAGCTCCTGGTGGAGGACTTGGCCGATCGCTGGCCGAAAACCTAAGGGCCTCTAACCACGTCTCAATCTTAGAAGACCCAAGGGCCTCTAACAACTTCTCGATCTTAGAAGACCTAAGGGCCTCTAACAACTTCTCGATTTTAGAAGACCTAAGGGCCTCTAACAACTTCTCGATCTTAGAAGACCTAAGGGCCTCTAACAACTTCTCGATCTTAGAAGACCTAAGGGCCTCTAACAACTTCTCGAGCTTAGAAGACCTAAGGGCCTCTAACAACCTCTCGATCTTAGAAGACCTCCAGGGCCTCTACAAACTCTCACCTTAGAAGACCTTAGGGCCTCTACAAACTTCTCACCTTAGAAGACCTGAGGGCCTCTACAAACCTCTCACCTTAGAAGACCTTAGGGCCTCTACAAACTGCTCATATTAGAAGACCTTAGGGCCTCTACAAACCTCTCACCCTAGAAGACCTTAGGGCCTCTACACACTTCTTCTGCTAGAAGACCTTAGGGCCTCTACAAACTTCTTCTCTTAGAAGACCTCAGGGCCTCTACCCACTGATCCCTTGGTGGAAGACCTCAGGGGCCTCCGCATCCTGCACTAACCTGAAAGACCTTAGGATCTTCGCCGACTACTCTCGCCCCTCTAGGGAAGCTAGCTTACTCGGAGCCCCGCCCAGAACCGAGCAACGGACCCCAGGGCAACGGAACGCGTCTCGAAGAGGACGAGCGAACGGCAGACCACCGGGTGACGAAACGCAGCCGAGGAAGGACGACCCGAGCCGGCGTACGGCAAACTGGAGCAGATACTCTCGACGGCCAACCCCAAATCCCGCTGTCCTATTTGTACCCATACATATATAAATAAATTGTTTGTCCCAGTATAACCTAACTACGGCTTTCTCCTCTGGAACCCGGATCGAGAACTTCCTTGCAGCAACCACCTCAGACAATAAATAAATGTCTGAGACGAACCCTGGCCATCCTTGAGCCCCGAGGAATGACCTAACCGTCACAGTGGCGCCCGAGCAGATTGAAGTGGTTGCAAGGAACAGACCGACACCGGCAGAGTGATGTCAAGCTGGGTATACTTAGCGTCGAAAAACGAACTTACGGAATACGCGGAAGAGTTCGGATTAGAGACGTCAGGAAAAAACGAAGAGCTAAGACGGCTACTGGCAGCGTTTGCCAAGAGGACGGATCATAACGAAGAGATCAGACAACGGCTCGCCGAGCTAACGATAAGGCACAAGAGAGAGAAAAGTCCGGCAAAAGATATCATACCGGAAATCGTAATATTCGAGGAAGAGGAGCAAGGACAGCAAATCGCCGGACCAGCTGTGAGATACAAAAGGGACAAAAACCCAGCAGAGATAAGACCGGAAAGCAGAGAAGAGGAGCAGGACAGCGAGGAGGAGGCAACAACAAGCGCGAAAGCTCAAATCAGAGCAGCGAAGAAGGAAAAGCTGAACGGAACGATGGAAGGAGAAAAAGAGAGGAAAGCAGAGTGGAGGATGGAAACAGAGGTGGTTGACCGAGTACGGAGCTGGGGGAATCCGATGCCAAGGGACAACAAACCCACTGGAGTTCTTAGAAAAAATGGAGCAGTGGGCGTCTGGGTACGGCATTCAGGAGAACCAGCTCGTACAGACCATGCCATATATATTGGAAGGAGCCGCCATAGACTGGTGGAACACCACTCCAACCAAGATAAACACATGGAAGCAGCTGACAACAGAACTACTGGAGTACTTCCTGCCTCCAAGGTACGAGGAACAGCTAAGAACGCAGATCGCACAGCTGAAACAGCGTGATTCAGAACCGGTGAGGGAATACGCGATGGGACTAAGAAAGCTGATGCGATTCACGAAGCTGTCAGAAGAAGAGAAGCTCGACCGCATATTTAACAACTGTAGGAGCAAGATCAAGCTCTACACGCGGAGATCAGGATTTAGGTCGCTGACGGAGTTCCTCAAACTAGCAGAGGAAGTGGAGGAGATCGGAGGCAGCGGACCAGCCGCGACACAACCAACCAGCACAGCAACAAATACGGCCTCTAACCACGTCTCAATCTTAGAAGACCTAAGGGCCTCTAACAACTTCTCGATCTTAGAAGACCTAAGGGCCTCTAACAACTTCTCGATTTTAGAAGACCTAAGGGCCTCTAACAACTTCTCGATCTTAGAAGACCTAAGGGCCTCTAACAACTTCTCGATCTTAGAAGACCTAAGGGCCTCTAACAACTTCTCGAGCTTAGAAGACCCAAGGGCCTCTAACAACCTCTCGATCTTAGAAGACCTCAGGGCCTCTACAAACTTCTCACCTTAGAAGACCTTAGGGCCTCTACAAACTTCTCACCTTAGAAGACCTGAGGGCCTCTACAAACCTCTCACCTTAGAAGACCTTAGGGCCTCTACAAACTGCTCATATTAGAAGACCTTAGGGGCCTCTACAAACCTCTCACCCTAGAAGACCTTAGGGCCTCTACACACTTCTTCTGCTAGAAGACCTTAGGGCCTCTACAAACTTCTTCTCTTAGAAGACCTCAGGGCCTTTTCCCACTGATCCCTTGGTGGAAGACCTCAGGGCCTCCGCATCCTGCACTAACCTGAAAGACCTTAGGATCTTCGCCGACTACTCGCCCCTCTAGGAAGCTAGCTTACTCGGAGCCCCGCCCAGAACCGAGCAACGGACCCCAGGGCAACGGAACGCGTCTCGAAGAGGACGAGCGAACGGCAGACCACCGGGTGACGAAACGCAGCCGAGGAAGGACGACCCGAGCCGGCGTACGGCAAACTGGAGCAGATACTCTCGACGGCCAACCCCAAATCCCGCTGTCCTATTTGTACCCATACATATATATAATAAATTGTTTGTCCCAGTATAACCTAACTACGGCTTTCTCCTCTGGAACCCGGATCGAGAACTTCCTTGCAGCAACCACCTCAG